GCATTTTGGCTCGTGGCATCAAAAATCACCCTTCTACACAAAATGCAGGTGTTTATGATACAGGATAGAACTTCTTTGTATTTTTGCAGGTAGATTTGGGACATTAGGTCAATTAAGTTAATTTTCATTTCATCATAAGCCCGTGAGTTTATAGGATTCAACTCTGTCCAGGCCGCACTCATTTTTACTTTCCTGAACAATCTACTAAATGATACCTTAGTGTTTGCCCCCAAATGTGAACATCCATGCAGCCCACTGAAGAACCTTTTCAGACCTGGAAAGAAGCACATCTTTTGACTCTACCTCAGGCCGCAAACAGCATAACACTGCTGGCCAGTTACAACCAAGCCTGACGATAAACGTAGCAGTGACTTGGCAGCTGATGTGCTGTGACTGCTACTTTGAGTTCTGCTCTTCAGATTCAGTTCCCCAAGAGCACCATCTGTCTCCTCTTTTACAACGGTCCTGGAGGCAAGCACCATCTTTTTCTCCTGGGTTTGTTTTGGATCAAATGTAATGAGATTCCTGGTCCACGACTGGTAGGCATGAGTGTAATGAACATAACAAGGGCTGAAATGTCTTAATGTAGACAACCTCGAATCCACACCCCTTCATGTACCCCAGCACTCAAGAGAAAACTCTGGAAATAACGAACACTGGTGTGGATCCAAGGGAGTCTTTTATTGTGGAAGAAAGAGGCTCTTTGTGCGTTCATATACTCACAGGAAAGTCACGAGTTCCAGTACTAACTAAAGAAACATGCCATGTTTTCTTACCATTAGATGAGAGAGTCAATGGCTATATATGAATTACTGAATAAAGCAGTGTGGGGACCTCCTAGCTAAGCAGCATAACACAGCCGATGTCCACGTGCTGAAGCTCTTTCCATGTTTGCACAGAAAAGAGCAGTCCCATACAGACTGCCTTGTGGGAACATGTCCTAACAGATGCTGTGCTCTGAGCTGTGCCTGGACATTGTCAGGAAAATCACAGTCTGTCAAATAGCAAAATCAAGGCAGAAAATGAATCGTCAGTTAGTATGGATGATCATAAGCCACTGCCTGAAACCATGCCTTGCCCTTCTTCAATTGGCTGGTGCAGATGTAATCACAGAGAACACCCTGTGCATGTTACCAGCACAGCACTCTTCCTTTGGGAAGAGCAAGCCAGAAAAGGCAGGGCCAGAGCAAACAGACCTGCCCCAGCACAGCCACACCACTAGTGATAGCTGGCATCAGGGAAGCAATGGGGACCTGATTCTGCCCTCAGTTATGCAGGTGCAGATCAGGAGCAGCTGCAATGAAATCAGTGGAACTGCTTGAATATAATATGGGAAACTCATACCCTGTGTGTATGGATTGTCTTCCATTTTCAGCCTCATCTTGCACCCATATCAGCAGGAGGGTCTGAAGAAACAGAATATAGCTACAGGCTCCACAGAGCTTTCAGCACCGCAGTTGGTTTTTGCTTTTAAGAAATGTAATAATTAAATCCAGATGCAAGGGCAGAGGGAAGGATAAATGCATCATGGATGTAAAAGATTTTCAAGAGCTCAGCAAGATACACATTAGACTGGACTTTTCAGCTTGAACGGGAGCAAGCGTTGTCCTTCGGGTAAAAAAAAATCTAATAATTGTGAAGACATAATCGCCAACGCAGACCTAGCATTTTGGCCTACTAATTCTCTTCACCATTCAGAAACAGACAGTGGATGGAAATGCTCCTCACTCAATTGCCTACAGAACAATTTTTCCGGGAGAGTATTTTCATTTTGTTCCAGACCTGTTTGTGCTTTGTGTGCAATTATTTTGTGCTCCCAGAACATTCAACCATTTGAATGCCTCAATTAGCTCAACACTCTAAGACTTCTTTTTACAAATATGATGTTGGCTCACGCCCTGGAACGACTCACCGATCACTCCATTATCACTAGTAGGGTAAGGAGCAACAAAAATATATCAGAATAATTGAGAATGCCTGAGAAAACCTCTGAACCCAAAGGAAACAATATGGATCCCATTTTCCCCTCGTTCCCATTTCCCTCATAGTATTGATTGTCAGTACCTCATTTCTGGTTTAAATTGATGCAATCCTTGGTTTAAAATACTGTATTAAAATAGGGAGCATCAGCACCTTCCAAGTTTTTGTGATTAATTGAATAATGTGGGGAAAAAATTTTGCCAAAAAATACCCAGATGACTTAGGACCCTGCATCTCATTTTTAAGAGGGGTTTTGACAGCTAGAATAGCAAAGGCACCCAAAACTGAGGCAGATGTCTTAAGGAACTGAGAAGTGTGTCTGCTCAGAATAGGGGGTAAGCTGGTTCCCAGTGGACTTCAGCAAAGACTGTACAACCCTGCCCATACAGCTGGAACCAGTGATGTGGCACTGAACACCACCTAACTTGTTACTGCTGCGTGAGTGGTCTAGATGAAAGCTTACTCATGGCTGCAATGCAGGCATACCCTTAGTTGAAGTATAAAGGAGATGATCTTTACAGGTGACTGAAGGATTTGCACAGACACCTTTACACACACTCATACTTTTCCATTGTTCTTATTCACCATCGTAAGTAATAAACGATTCAGCTTAGACCTCCAAAACGAAGAAAGCTTTTGGGCAGACACTAATGGACCCGCTAGGACCACCCACCCGCTGAGAGGCATCAGAGAATATAACATGCCTTAGATCTGTATGGGTGGAAAGAAACATTGCCAAGACAGACACTGGGATAAGAATCTGTTTTCAATTTAGAAACTGACTGTCTCCCTTCCACAGTGTGTGGCGTAATCATTCAGCTGAAACCCTTAGTCTGCTGGGAGCCAGTCCTACAGCTCTGTGTTAAGACTAAACAACTGAAAGAAACAAGCAGTACAAATAGATAGTATTTCTGCTGTCCCAAAGTGGCTATGGTATGAAGGCTTGTCCTCCTAGGAGCCATTATCTAAGAAAGTGTTTCCAAAGCAAACCAGATAAAATATTGTGTGTAAGAATGGTAAAGGCAACTGAGTTTTCCATTTATGTTCATCTCAGCTTCTCATAGCTCTCTGGGTTAAGAGTGGATTAATGATTCATTTGTAAACCTCATTTTTAAAGCTTGTTGTTAGTCATCTCAGAAGATACATTATTTTCTAAACAAGCAGCTTATCTGGCTGGATAGAAGTATCTACCCACCCTCGAGAATGGAAGCTAACATGCATATGAATCTTGGGATTGCTGGCTTTTGCTACCCAGTGCTCCACAGCACAGTGCAGACACACAAATTCAGGTCCCAAAAGAAACATAGCCATAGGTCTGTGCCAGGGTTAATTAGCCACAGCCACCAGCAGGGCTATTTAGCAATACTACTCACGGGCTGGTTTTTGCAGCCAGTGGAGATACCACTGTGCTGTGCTGTGTTTGATACCGTAGACGTGTTACTCATGACACAGCTTACAGCAGGCATGAGAAGAAACGGTTAGCTCAGTGCAGAAAAGAAATCATCCTTTATTTCAGTGCAACCCAGAAAAATGAGGGAGAGGGAGATACAAAGGAAATCTAATCCTAATTACATCTATACAATATAATAAGAAGCCTCATAGCTCATACAAATGCAAAAAGGATCATACCTTTCTGATTCACTTGAAATTCCCACTTTTCCCACTTTTTGCAAGGGTAAGTGACCTCAAGAGGCACAGAATACACAAAGTGCTGTAGAGGCAGCCTCAAAAAATTTTCCAGGAGAGCCTGGCATATCTCAGGCTCTGACAGCCACCTCAGGCATAGCATTTCTACATGCTAGCAGAAATAGGGTGTGGTAAATAATTTCTGGAGATCTAAACGGCATGCTAAGGCCTTCACATCTGCTCTGCAAAAACATTGCAAGAGTTAGGAAAGGGTAAGATACTTCGAATCCAAAAATTCATGAGTCTGTATGGATCTAACATAATACATGTGACACAGGGAGACTGCACAGGGTGAACAAGTGCTGCCTGAGTAACAGCAGTTGCTCCTGAGGTCAGCCTGTGCATGTCTCACCAGCTTTGAATAATGAGGTAGGAGTTCCTCAGCGGAGAACAAGAATTTACACATAATATATCAAACAAAAGTTATCTTCTTTCAGTTTCTTTTTATTTTTGCAGTCTTAGAGGGGCATCTTAATAGCTTTATTTGTGTTTCTGTTTCCTTATATTATTGCTCAGATTAGCATTTAAAAGAAGGTGATTTAGATATTTACAATCGTCTGTTTAATTTTGGTAAGCTTTGATAAGTCATCAAAAGTACTAAATTATATACACCAGGCACAGACACACATTTAAGAAATAACAAGAAAATTTTACCTTTCATGCAGTCTTCTACCATTTATTTATTATGTCACATGAAGAATGACTGGAGAACTGTTGTATCTCCCAGGGACTGATTACTTCCTGGAATGACAACAGGTTACTGCTGGCGCATCTCACCAGCCTCACAGCAAGCCAGCTTTGGTAGCCTCTCACAGCAGCCAACCAGCTTTCATTCAGAAGGGCATTGATCTTTGTAGATATGTCTCGGTCTCTTCTAGGCTCTTCATCTAAAGCTCATCAAAGATTTGATGCAAAGTCAACATTCTAAAGCTTTTCTCTTTTAAGTAAAAGCTATTCCTTTTCTATAAATACACTTTCTTTACTGAATAAGGACCATCATTTCTATTTAACTGATTCTCCAGTACAAAATGCAGTAAGAATCTACCAGCTCCTCACCTGCAGGCAGGCACCCACTGCTGGCCAGGGGCAGGACACAGGCAGGAAAGCTGGCAGCTTAGGTACTGTAAGGCAAAAAAGCAAGCACCAGGACAGGGAGTGGAAGAACAGACTCGAGTTCATCAGCGTGCGTGTGGTCTTCTACGATGGGGTTCTGCAGTGTGCTCTGGGGAGACCTGATGGTTGTAATTCTTGCTTTCCTGTGCCTCTCAGTCAAACATAACTCTCCGAATATGTATGCATAGGAAATACTTTATATTTTTATTTTTTCATTGCAGGGATGCCAAGAAGGATTTTACCGTACTAGCTCAGGAAAATGCTCTCCTTGCAACTGTAATGGTAATGCAAACAGATGCCTTGATGGATCTGGAATCTGTGTGGTAAGGAATTCCTGTCTTCTCTGCTGGTCCCTCACTGAATAACAGTACTTTTTTTTTTTTTTAATGATAACATGAATCCTTTCGCCTTCTTTCACTTTTGCATGAGGCTTCACATGAAGGAAATATTTTCCAGGCAAACCCAAGAAACCGTAGTCTGACTGTTCTATTAACACTAATGCTCAATTTCAATACACAGCAAAAGCAGTGTCTGTACCACAGGAGCTTTTTGCTGAAAAGCAATCACAAGTAGAGCCAAGATCAATACATTAATAAGATTATCCTGGCCAAATTTCATTCTCACTTACTTATATTATCTCTGCAGATTCAAAACACTTCCTCCATGCAGTATTTGTGAGAGTCAGTACATTGGGGAAAATTTTTAGTCCATCAGAAATATGGAAAGAGTTTTGTATACCTCTCTAGAAAAAAAACGTTTACATTCAAACACATTTCATTCCCCCCTTTATGAATACAGTGCTGTATATCATGTAAACAATTTACAATGGTGAGTGACCCCTATGAGTGTATATACACGTGATATCCATAGTAATTCTGCTGCATGGCAGCTTCCTGCTGTGAAGGAACAACATGAGAAGGTTGAAATAATACACCAAGGGAAACACATATGGAACTCCTAGGTAGTATTACAATTTCCCATATGTTCAATTTCACTCAGTGTCAGCTCATATGAGTTAGTATTAGTAGCTGATCACTTGTAGCTCCAGAGCAAAAATCAGTCCAGTAAAACTAACCCAAATTACTAGTGGGCAATCAGGCCAGTAATACACTAAAAAAATCATGGAAGTTAATAGTGTAATGTATCTAAACCACATAGCAAGAGCTAGGCACTACTGTACTTTTTACAGGCTTGTAAAGCAGGAGTAGAGCACAGAGCTTCTTGTTCTGCCATGTGTTACTTTTGACAAGTCATAAACCTTTGCCCTCAGTTTGTCTCTTTATAAAATGGCCTGATAATATTCACATACTTTGCATTGTTGCAGCTTCTATCGAATTTTCGTTTATACAAATACATGGATCCATGCTCCATGGCATACTTCCTACCATTTTTGTTTCTGTGGGAGGAAGACAGTGCAGCTGTTCAGCTCAGGAACAATTATTATTGCTTGGCCACTGTAGTGTGGTTAGGATTGGCTGGTTAACACATACTGGCTTAGTGTTTTAATATTAAACTTTTTAAAGTGGTTTTACACTGCCAGGCATTCCCAGATATCCTCTTTCACATGCACAAGGCTTTTGCTTATGGGATGATTGTCCCCTCAGTGTTGAGTGACAATGATGCCAAGAGGAAACTTCCAGTGGAAGACCTGGGAAGAAGAGAGGGACCTTGACAAATGCTTCTGATGACTCTGGTGACTACAGAGTTTCTGGAGTAGAATGTATGAAGTAGAGAAGTGATTACATCCTCAGCATACAAACACAACAGAAGACGTGTTTCCTGCCTTCTACAAAAATAAGGCCAATGTCAAGAGCTTGGGGGGGAAAAAAAAAAACACCACACAAAAACAAAGTTACTGTATCAGCAGAAAATAATCTGAAAGTGTAAGTGCATTCCTGACCTGCGTTTCTCTGGGATACTAAACTCTTTGAACCAGCCAGGTAGTAAAGAACAAAACCAAGAGCTAAACCCCAGTTTATTACTTGAGTTCTAATAAGCCATTTGATGGCTTATCTGAATGATTTAAGAAGCCATTAAGCTCAGGCCATTTACTTCTAAACAAAGAAGAACAGCAAAAAAGGCTTAAGCAAAATCAGAGTGAAAGTGAGAAGGAAAGAGCGTGGTGCAAGGGAAGAGTAGAATGAAAAGGGGTTTTGAAGGTTCAATAGCATGAAACAGAACCAGGGATGCCCATGGGGACTTCAGTAACAAGACTTTCCTGAGGATTTGGAAACTTCCAGGGAAGATCAGAAGACTGATGAAATTGGTAAACTGCAAAATGTGACTGAGAAAGCCTGAAAGAAGAAGAGCTTAGAGAAAGAAAGATGTAACTTGAATTACAGCAGGAAGAAGCATTTTAAGTGAATGAATGCAAGTAACTTGAGAAAAGGAGACTTGATGGTTGATAATGTGATTTGTATTAGAACCAGTGGACAAAGCATCCTTCCCTAAGGACTGTTCTGAAGAAGCACAGGAACAGAGCTGGCCAAAGCCTGCTGGGGCTGAAGCTGGGACAGAAAGTAGTAGGTACCTATGTGGCTGGGAGTTTCTGTGAAGAGATAGGATCACATGGTATGGAGAGTTCACTATTTTCTCTCTGCTCAAATTTTTAGGCAAATTATTCCAATAATTCTTGCAATGGTAACTACCACACCTGATAGTAAGACATAAGACTTCTTGCATTCAGTTAGTTTTTAATAGACTGTTAAAAAAATAAATAAATTCTGTATTTATCCTGTATTATTATTGTTGTCATCCTCCTTTCCTATCAGTATACAACTGCTATCACCCTGCTTCGGAGACATGTCAGTGTTGCAAAGTTTTATCACTTATGGACTCTCCTCTGGCACCACATGTTACCCTAACCATAATCATAGGCGTTACAGAATGCTGTTAGCAGAAGATCTTTATAAAAACTGATGTTCCCCAAAGTTAAAAGTTTCTATGTCTGTATGTTTATTCACACAATGGAATGGTTAAACATGAAAAAAAAAAAAAATCATTTTATAAAGTTAACTCTTCTAACAATGATGGAAGACAGCATGGAAGTTATAACACTGTGTTCAGCTAGTAGATTATTATTTTTTATAGTTTAAGTAATAACTAAGCTATAAGAACTGAATAAAAGAACAAGGTAGTATGATAACGAAAAAGTACCTTACTGCAAAGGGGATGAAATATAAGGGTCAGACTCCATACAGTGCTCTAATACGATCACATTATGCAAATCCCCCAAATCAATTTGGCAAATGTAGTTCCCACAGCATACAAATTAATGAAATTTTCATTGGCCTCTGCCCTGAATTCAAAATCAAATAAAATTAAACCCCTATTAACAATGCCTTAGGGTAAAGCACTCACATCTTTAATTTCTGCTGACATATCTGTCTTAGGGTTCTGTTTCAAAACTTCTCTCAGCTTATTCAGAGAGTGTAAATCAAACCCATGAGTCTTTAAAAGCTTATTGAACGACACAATCAATGAATCAACAATCTCATTAGGTAACCAGACAGAAGAAATCATCGCAGACAGAGCCGTTCTTGTATAGATGTCCACATAAAACTGACGCAGAAATTGATCACGTGGTTCTGTGATTAAAACTGAAGAGCTACTCAGTCCATTTTTTTTAGTATAGAAAATCATCCAAGTGTTAAAGAAGAGCAGCCAGCACAGTGTAAGCTCCATTTATGATACAATACAATAGAGATGTCAAATGTTACTTCATTTCAAAGACATTATCTGGTGATGAATGTAATGCTAGTAGAGGAAGAAACACCAATTCTTTGTACTGATTTTAGACTTTGGACTTTTAATGAAACTTTCTCAACCTTAGCTAAGAGAAGAGAAGTCACTTGTAGGACCCTCTAGCTTTTGATTTTGGAAAAATCATGCATATATGTGGTGATAAATGGCTGAAACTGTAACGGCTGCAAGCGGCAGTCTGCAGACAAACTGATGTGCATTTCTCCTGCATAAAGCCTATCGTGTTTTGCTGCTAATAAGATATGAAGATAGGAAGGGAATATTTTGCCTCCTTCATCATTCTCCAGACCCTACCACACCAGCAACCTACAGCTGAGCTATTTCTTTACAGTACCTCCATTGAAGGCTCAACATTTGAAAATTCAGACATGGGACTGGGCTTCAAATGACGTGACAGCTGAGTAGAACGTCAGAGTGGCCATGACGGTCAACTCTGAAATCAGTGGCATATGGAGGTGAAAGAGAGTGTCTAAAGCAATGAGATCTCATCTCATATGCAAGTGGTATAATGGGCAGGGGTTTACCGTACAAAAAACTTTGACTGAATATGCTAGGGAAGGAAGTTGCTTGAGGTGACTGCAATGTACTATAGCAATGACACCAGACAAACAGAGCAAAATGGATTGAAAGGCTGAAAGGATTTAGAAATTACAAAGCTGGATATCCAGATAAAATTTTTGTTGGACTGAGTTATCAGTGTGCTTTCAGAGGTTTCTACTGTTAATAGAGATTAGATCTTCATAAATGCATGAAAACACATAGAGCAGAAAAAGTAAGTCTGGAGAGAGCACTACAGCAGAAGGTGAAGTGTAAATTTATTGATGTCTACCTACAAATCTCTTTGTTATCATCTCAGTCCTGTATATTTGATCAGTATGTATACAAGACATGCAAAGCTTACTCATAAACAAATAAATAAATAAATGTGACCCTTTTGGAAGAAGAAAGACCAAAGGATCATAACAGTGAAGAGGATAAATTTGCTGGTATCCTTTCCAGCCTTTTATGGAATTTTTTACAATAGAGCGTATTGTCGTGTAAGTGATTTGTGTTCAAGCATTTGCGTTTACAGCTGAGCAGAAAGGTTGGAACAGATTTGGCAGTTCTGCCCGAGAGGATAATATGTTCCACATGATTGCCAAGGCAGGTCTGGAGAATCGCCAGTGGATCTACAACCATCCATCATGCAAAAAGCAGCAGGGAGCTAGCAAAACTCCCCAGCTTATTAGGTACTTCTGGCTTCACAAAGAGCCTTGCAGCTTACAGATCACTGTTTCTTTCTATAAAGATGGACTACATCTACCTGTTGGTGGCCTTGGTGATACATGTGTAGAAAGCCAACCAGAACTACAACAGTCTGGTGCTGAAATGCAGCCCTTCTCTTCTCCAGAGTGTTTTAGTATGCAGTAGCTGTCAAAAGCATTAGCGTTAATAGACTCATTTTCTCAGATATAGATATTTCCCTCCCTCTTAGCTATGTTTAAACTTACTATTCATTGTCCTAACTGGCTTACTATTGAAAACTTGCAACAGTGACCCCCAACATGCGACTACTCTGTTG